GAAAAATTGGAAGGGTAAAGAGAGACCCTGGCAAACTTCATGCCATAAGAGGTAGGGTCTAGCGATAGAAATCTTAGACATTTAGAGTGCAAGTCAGTGAACTATGCAAAAAGCTAGAGTTGGAGTACCCAAAATAGGCCTCCTTGATTGGCATCCATAGGTTTTTCGCAAAATTGGGAGCAAGTTCTATAGATATGACCCAAGACATATGGAGCTAAAGCTACCTTTTTATGCAAAACAAAAGCTTTGGCGAGGGGGGCAAACTCAGGCACAATCCTTTGAGAAGAGGCATAGAAGAGAAATTTACAAAGCCAATACAATAAAAAAGAAAAGAGTTCCCTATCAGTTACAGGACCTTCCCTTTTGTTCTCAGAATTGACAAAGTCACTATAGGATGAGTTCAGAGGAGGGATAGAAAAAGAAACGTTAAGGTCAGGATAGTCTGGACCAAAGAGAGTGCCAATAGGGGATAACCCTAAAAGGTGGCAGATGTTAAGGACAGTAGGGTCATCATACCACATCTAAATTGGAAGAAATTAAAAGCAGAGTTCCAAAAACAAAGAGCAGCAGGTATTAAAAATGGATCCTCCGAAATAGTGAACCTGAATAGTTGAAGGGCGTCAAAGAGGCAAAGTTTTTGGAGATCCAATAACATAGCGAGAATAACTCGATCGTACTATTCCTCCCATTATGGCCTTACTGTGGGCCAGCAGCGATGGTGTCGGTTCATCCTCCAGCTTCCCCAATCCAGACCACCTTCATAGAGGAGGCAGTGATTCTTCAAACGCGGGTATAAAGTAGGAAGCTGAGCAGGGGCCTCTTTAAAAATGGGCCCAAGCACATATTCTTGTTGCTCATGACGACGGGGAATGAAATGCGCCCATCGATAGCACTTTGTTTGCCAGCTTTGTACATCTCACATTCTTCAGCAATAACCCTCTTCAAAGCTACGGATGGGCTCCTACGCTCCACAACTGGTACTTTTAAGGAGGAAGAAGCCATTAGCAGAAGTTTTCGGAGGACGAAGCTGAGAAAAAGAGTAAAGAGGAGGAGAAAGCAATATAAATGAAGGGTTTGTGTTTTGGGCGAGCAAGTAAGTTAAAAGCGCAAAGGGAAAAGGCTTTTTAAACCTTTTTGTCCAAAAGATGCCCAATCAGTCTAAATGGATAAAAAGACCCGAGATAATTGTTTGACTGATTTTGGAACCCATATGAGTTTAAGTCTTTGTCTTAAAATTCGAAGGAGTCCTGAAAGTATAACATGAAATTTTTCTCTCAAGGGTGATTGTTTGGGAGGGAAACGTATCTCAAACACTCAAATTGGCTTCGAAAACAAATATTTGGCTTTGAAGCCAGGATTTGGCTCCAAAGCCAGATGTCAAACATCCAGCTAGGGCTTTAAGAGCAGGTAGTTGACTTCGAAGCACATTTTATGCCTAAGAATGCAAGAATGTTTAGATTTGATCTGCTTACTCTTAGGTTTCTTGTAAAAGATAAAATCCTTCGAAGTGAACTTTGAAGTATTCTGTAGCTGGAATTTGATTCTTATTTAATGTTTTAGACTTCAAAGTTGCAAAGCCAGTACCAAGTCAAGTAAAGGATCAAAATCCAAAAAGACTTGCCTGAACATGAAAATTCCTCTTGGGATTTTCTGTCAAAATAAACCCTTTTTTGGAAAGCAGCATTGTTACTTTTAAAAGTAGTTCTATATTTCGAAGCACTTAAAAGTAACTTTGATACAAAGGTTGGTTAATTCAAAGCTGTTAAATTATGTTGACCATGTGATTGGAATGAGAAGACCTAAGGCAAAAATTGTCAATTGTATTCCATACTTTGGAGATATTCAAATCAGGTTTCAAGTATTCCATACTTTGGAGATGTTCAAATCAGGCTTTGAAGCAAAAATTGGTTAATTCGAAGCTCTAATTTTATTTGAATTGTGCGCATAAAGTGGTCACAAGCATGCAAATGGAACACAAAACCAGATCATGCCACATAGGGGAAGAAAACCCTAGTTTTATTTATATGTAAGTAATTACATTAGAAAAGCCTACTTGGTTATGAATTCGATTTCATAATAATAGGGAATAGAAAAAGTAACAAGTTCATTAAATTTAACCCAATAGTGTTCAATGAACTTACGTTCTTTCTTTATTCTATCTTCTATCCTATCAAAGTTAGGTTGCTGCAGCTGGTATGCTCTTATTTGGTGAAAAAGCTATTCAGCTTTCACCTCGAACTTTGTGTCTTTCAAGCCTTGCTCCATTTCGTCCATATTTAAATCATCCCAGTATGTGAATCCTTATTCTTGAAGTCATCATATTTTTCAATAAGGTTCTTTGCTTCGTACTGAGTCTGAATTCGATTGGCTGTGATTTCGTCCAAAAAGTCACTGGTAGTCAAAGAAATTTTGTACCAATGAAGAAGGAGTGGAAGTTGATCCGTGAAAGCTTGAAGCTCTGTCTGGGCAATGAGGTTGAGAACATAACCACGAGTCATAACATCACATGCCCATTGAAAGTTCTTGAGAGGAATCTCGTCTCCAAGAACATTAAAGGTAAGTGAGAGAAAGCAGTAAGCAGAAGCTAAGCTTTGTATCGCTCAAATGCAGTTGGAAGAGCTGGAGGTTGGTAGGAAGGAAAAAACTGATTCTCGAAAAAAGTAAGTTTCAATTCCTCTATCCAATGAGGATTCTGAGGGAGAGGAGGTACAGAGGGATTTATCCCGAAGGAAGAGGGGAATTGGGGGTCATTCACGCATTTGGGCCAATCAGAAGAGCAAAGTTTTTCCTTCTTAGCCAAGAATGACGGATTATATCCTTGTGCTTCATCTGGATGAGGAGTTTCTCACACTATCTTCGCTGGCATGGAAGACGTGTACCACGCCATAAGCAAATTGTCTTGCAGACTATGTTGGTGATCAATGGATACACAAGGGTAAACCACTAAGCTCTGAGCAGAAGGAGGAATAGAAAGGGGATCATTGAATTCAACAAATCGATGATGAATCCGCTCTCTTAATTGGGGTTCATCAGGTTTTGACCAACTTTCCTAGCTAGTGGACTGAGAGGAAGAAGAAGCGGCTTTGTCCCATACGGAGAGTAGTGGGGCAGAAGAGAGCTTCCAAGACCCATTCCTGCAAATGCTTGGTCCAAAGGTTTGTAGTTGGCAGATTTTTGGTCTAAAGGTTGGTAATTTGCAAAAGTTTCCATGACTTGTATAAATGGAGGCGAATAGGTATAGCCAATAAATGCATTAAGGTTCTTTCGAGGCCTACAATCATCTTCTAAAGACTCCTCGTATGCTCGATCAATGTAAGAGAATGTGTGATTGGCCATTGGGGATGTACTAGTCTTTTCGTTTACTCAAAGAATGGAAGTGCAAAGCACCAGGATTTAATGAAGTCCACAACTTCATTATTCAAAAAGCAGTTATACTTCTAGAATATATAGAGTCCATGCATGTCCTAGAACGTTAGTAGGATACATTAGTCCACTAATATTACCAAGTATTGGGTACATTAGTACAGAGGGTAATATTGGTTGTATAATTTGTAAAAGCCAATCGTAGAGTGACACGTGGCACGTAAAGGGCAATGGGGGGAATTAATGCAAGTCTCTAATCAAAGACAGACACGTGGCAGTTTGTATTGGTAGTATCGGATTTGCGTAGCACTGGAACAGTCGAGAGATACAAGATGATGTGGCCTAACGGTTACTCATAAATTTAAATTCAAAAATCAGTAGGGAAGCCTATTTGCAAAGAGTGGCGTTGTGGGACTAACTGTGAGAGAACATGTTCAGCGAGGACTATTCGACGGTTGGAAATCCACTTCGATGGTTATCATTGAAGAGTATAAATAGCAGAGAAGGCCCCAGAATGAAGAACCCAGACTCAGATCCAGAAACCAGTTTATTTACTTTATTTTCTTTCTAGTTTTACATTTCCAGCACTTCAATTCCTGTACTGCACTTCATTTCCTAGGAGTAATTTTTCAATAGTTTGTTGCTGTGAACCTCATCGAGGCTGGGTCATTGTAACTTCATTGTAAGTTTTCATTTGCTTAATGAAATTCAATTTTTGAGTTATATTTATTTGTTACTATTCATAATTTTCTCTTAGCAAGCTACTAGTAAAAGTCCTCTTCATTGAGGTTGAAAAAACTTCAATATAATCACTTGATAATTGGTTAGCAATTATAAATTGGTAAGGATTAATTGATCCTTCTTGGCACGGTTAAATTTACATTACTAACCCTTGAAAGCCAAAAAAGCCAACATCAATTGATTTTGACCATCTTCATTCCATATCTGCAGTGGAAAATTTTTATTACATATCTAATAAATATGAAATAAAAGTATAAATTTATAATTATTTTAAATTAGAAAAGATTATTACACCCACTATTGAATAATGTAATGAAATTTTACCATTATAAATATACAACAGAGAGGGTCACAATGCTTACCGAATAACCATAGGTAGGGCTGCGTAAAATTCTCCCAATTCGTTAAGATCATACACAATCCGTACTATTATATCCACTAATCGCAAATTAAACTTTAAAATTTATAATCTATCTTTGAAATAGTTCCGCTCTATTATAGTTAATACATATATATTTTTCGACCTCTAATGAAATATTAAAGTAAAAATGAGTGTGAAAGAAATTTAAAAAATGAAATTTGTTACAAATTAATAGTTATATATATATATAATATTATATAAAATAGTATTATATATTATATAAATATTTGATAATTACTTAAAAATATTCTTCAATCTGTCCCAAGCCGCCCAAACCATGATTTGATTATTTATCAATTTGTCAATCTACGATTTTAATTTATAATTTTACTCTAAAACCGCTTGAATTGCACCAAACATGCTCCTAACAACTAAGTGTATTTCTATAACAATTACAACACCGCTACATTAACCAAATTTATTTAATCTCAATTCATCTGAATAAATATCTTCTTGGGAAGAGTCACTCACAAATTCAGATTCAGGGAATGAATCATTAATCTAAAAATTATTGTTATAATTCTCGTTGATTTCTAATTTCCCCAAAAATAAAATTTAAAGCCTTGCTCCACAATAATGTGTACGTGCCCAAAGCAAAGACAGTGCAGCACAGGCACAAACAGATCGATTCTTCCTTGGCTTTCGGAGACTTACTTTTTGGTAATTAATCTTTTCTCGTTTCCATTCTCACTCTCTGCCTGCCATATAGTTTTCATTTTAGTAGAATTAATTGTTTCTTTAACCCTCGTTGATGATCTCATCATACTTCAATTGTTCGCTACACGTCGCCATGGATTAGGGCTTTTTCTGTTGACAATGAACCAGATAACAGTTGAAGTAAAAAAAAAAACCAACCAATTATACACACTTCTTTTGGTTTGAGTGATTTGGAGAGAAAAGAAATGAAATGGAGAGAAATAGATTTCAATCACTTGTTTGGATTCTCTTATCAAATAGGAGAGAAATGGAAAGAAATACAATTCTCTCATCACTCTTTATTTTCAATCTCTAGGAGAGAAATGAAAACCAAATATTATTTTGTTATAATATCAGAACTACCTTAATTTCGAAATTTAAACTAAAATTTATTAATACATAATCAGCTCGATTATTCGTTTGATTGTTTATAGATTGATGTAGAAGGTGATATATTGCACTCTTTTTATTTTTTTGTGAATTAACTCCATTAATTGTATATTGGGTGGCTGGGATGGGTGGAAATTTTGGTGACATTAGAAAAGAGAGTACAGAAGAGTGTTATGAGCAAGGATTTGATAATGTCCATGGTTCTTGATTTCATAATGTCCTTTGCGTGTTTGTTTATTTTAAATGACATTGAGTTAGATGGGTCATTCATGTGTCTCTTTATGTTGTGTTTAGTTGAGTGATTTGAGGAGGGATTTGGAAAGGGAAATGGAAAATGTAGGTGAAATGTGAAAAAAATATACCTACATTTCACATAGTTTCACACACCTTTTTCTTTTTCCTTTCTAAATCCCTCCCCAAATCCCCCCAACCAAACATAGCATTAAGGTTGTATTTGGATCATGAAGTTGAGTAGAGGTTTGAAAAGGGAAAGGAAAAATGTGAGGCAAATGTAAATAAAATGTAAGTCAATTTTTTCTTCATTTTCCTTTCCAAACTCTTATACAAATCTATGATCCAAACACAACGTAAAGGAATGACATGATTTCACCATTTTCTGGTAGTTCGCACGTTCCTATGCTTTCTATCGCTTGCGCTTGCGCTTGCTTTTCACTCTCAAGACAACGGTCTCTCTCCTCTAATAAAGGGAAGCAATTTGCATGGCTCTAACGTAAAGAAAAGTTTAATAAACACACAAACACAATGCAAGGTATTGCATGAATAAGGCTGTTGAAAATATATCCTCTTTTGAGTATTGGACTGTCATCTCCATATTAGACTGAAAAAATTCAGAAGTTCTAAACCATGTTGATATGGACAGTCATCTCCATATTAAAGAACACTTGTAATTGCCTAGATGATCATGTGATTTTTGGTTATCCCTTTATTGAATTAGAAAAATTAAAAAATCATAGTACCTGGTCGTCGTCATATGTTACTTTATATGAGAACTATGATGGCTTGTGAACATTTTATATCTCACATATATTTGTACTTTGAAAAAAAGATGCAATATCCTATAATTTACATCATATAACCTGGATGTATATATATATATATATATCTCTTTTGAATAAGCCTTTCCAAAAGTAATAATGCATTTGTTAAAAATGAATTTTTTATTGGTGTATGATTTTATCATTATATGGTATGCTGTCATAGTAAGACGTGGTTGAATGTTAAAATCTTTGGAAAATTTGATTTTGTTTCAAACTACTTATCTATTTGCATATCGTGAATTTAACCTACATGCTCTGAGTCTTTACACCTTCGTTATGTCTTCCTTTATATGTGCATCTGTGTATGCATGTATACACCCTTGTGGTCAAGTGGCCCGAGGTGGGGATTGGGCAACATATGTTGTTTGTCTCCAATTCCCCTTAACTAAACTCACATGCTCTTCTCTATGTGGTTTAAATATTTTTCTGCTGAAGATGAGTTTCACTTGTTCAAAATTAAAAATTTCCTTGACATACAACGTTGTAGGGACCTGAGTTCATTTATTATTTTATTTCTGTATCTGTATTTCAGTGTTTGTATGTTGGCCCAAGATTTATGGCAATTGTTATTATTCATGATCAACTTATGTTGTCAGCTGGCCAAAATAATTTGAAGTTGAAATTCGATCCATTCCATAACTCTAGTCCAGAGATGTAGAGGTGGTGGAATGGATTATATAAAAAGGTTGTGTGGAGGAGAGACAATGATGTGGGACGAATAGGGATTACTTTCCCTCAAGTAGTGAGCACGGGATAAATACACTGGCAGCAACAACAATAGATTTATAGCGCTGTATTTAGTGGGATTTTGTGGCTGCAAAAGTATTAAAAATATAGGAGTTTAAGGGTTTGTAAAAAGGTAGGATTTTGGGAATGAAAACACAAATGTTTCGTGGCTGTTGCGTGGCTGTTGGGTGGCTGTTGGGTGTCTGTTCTTGGTACTGTGAACAATGATGTGAGAAGAAAGAGAAGTATTGGAAGAAGAAGACACAGAGAGAGGTGTTTCACCCTCACAAGGGTTAGGCCAATCACACACAAACACAATCTCAAATTCTCATAACATCAACTATTCTATTAAATCATTGAGATTATACATATATTTATAGGTTAAAGACTCTCCTAATTCTATAAGGACTAAAACTCAAATTTAGAAACTAAAAATATTTGGCAACTACTAATATTGTAGACCAACTATGACTTCCAATTCTACCTCAATCATAGTAGGAAACTTTAATGACTTATAATTCTACTTCAATATCAAAATAGAAATTTTGATTTTTTGACCACTAAGATTATTCTAGATATAATAAAACACATATAATGATCTAATTTAATAACTTGGCCCGAAATAAAATCCATGGGCAACCCTACAACCTATGTCCGGCAATGTTGAAATTACCATAATACCCTTAACTACTAAAACCTACTATAATGATATAGAGACTCAAAATTATTCCAAATCTTCAATTCTTGATGCCCTAAATTGTACTTCATGTGAAATTTCAGATTTGCTCTTTTTTTTCTTTCCATGATTTTCATCAGAAAATGGAAGGAAAAGATTCCCATGCAAATGGCAACTTGGCAGTGGAGTTTGAAGGTGAATTGGAAAGAAGGCAGCACTGTGAATCTTTTGAAATGTCACAGGTCCCAAGGACAGACGGTTTGGATGGGCCTTTCATGATGCCCCTTTTACCAGCTCCAAATGTGGATCGGTTTAATTCAAAGGCATCTGTTGTCTTGACTGGAACCGCTACAAGAGGGGGAACTGGGCCAGCTGTTGGAGCTGTGGACATTGGAGTCGGCAAATCTGCATATTTTTTTCGGGTTGCTCTGCCTGGGGTCAGGAAGGATCCAGGTTTGTTGCTCTCCCCCTGTTTAATGATTTTGCTATATAAATGTTTGTACTATTTCTTACCAAAAGGCAACTCCTTAAGTTGCATGGGATTAAAAACCCAAATTTCTCTGCGTTGCATACTATAATAGAACTGTGTTAGGAACATTCAATTCAAGCTAAGGATGAGAATCCAATTTAAGGATTCCAAAACATTGGGTTGCACTTTGTGTTTTTGTATTTTCTTGCATAAGTATTTGTGTCAGTGAAGTATACATGTTTCATTGATATTATATAATTGTTTTTGGTTATATTTTAACACCCTTGAGTAACTCCATGAGCTTTAAGAAGTACTAAATAATACATTATAGAGATATATCATTAGCTTAGAGTTACCTATATGACACATGAGTGGGGTACTAAAATGCATTCAAATAGACATCAGAAGGCTAGGAATTTGTGTTCATGTTGTAAACTGATGTGTGTATTCAAGATGGTGTGGCCATATGTTTTTTCCATCATATGACTTTTACTCACTCTTGTTACATGTAAATATTGATAAGCAACAATTTTGCTGAAGTTCTTTGGAATACTGCTCGTCTATCAGTTTATGATATTTATCTCTCCTCAATGAGATTTTGGGAATACCTTACTACATATGCATTCACACAATAGTATGTATTTTTTTTTAATGAAAAGACAGAATTGTCTTCTATACATGGTCCACTCACATATTGAACTCGTTTTATTCTCGATGTCTTAAATTCTTAAAATAAAATATGTAAATGATTTTTATTTGATCTTGGGACAAACAAGGAGCTATTCCTAAGACCTCTGCATTTGCGACTGCAAGCTTTGCAATAATGGGCAGTTGAATCCTAGGTGTAAGCCACCATAACTCGTTGCACCAAGTCACGTATTCAAAGAGGTGTGATCTACTCTTAACGATAATGAATACACATGCCTTTACCAATAAGTTTTTTTTTTTTTTGTAATTTTTCATAGTTCAATTATTACAATTATCTATAGGATTTCATCTAAGTTATATTAGTTATTTTTTTAAATTTTTTTTTAGTAATAATTCAAACCGCTGTTTTACTACAGTATGCATTATGTTACAAATGCTTTTCATTTTAACCAAGATTATAGATGGAGGAAATTAGGGACGGATCCAAGATTATCACTATAGGGGTGCAAAGTATGTTTGGGGGTGTAAAACCTAATAATTTTAAATTATTTTAAATTTTCTAGTATAATATATGATATTTTTCAAATTTTTAGGGGTCCCCTAGATCCATTCTTGGAGGAAATGGGTGCATGTCTGGGGATTTTGGCATTTGTTTGACACCAAGAGACCATGTACTCTTACACTTGGACCAATTCAATGTAAAGCTATTGCAACCAATGCATGTTGGCTGCAGCAGTATAATTCTTACAAGAGTTTTTATCTCAGATAATGTGTTTCCCTTTCTTTAAAGAATTGCCCAGTCCTAGAAGTTTTGAAAACTTAAGATTGATTGCCTATGAGGCATGCAAGACCTCTCATGCAACATAAACCTACACGTGCTGAACAAGTTGTCCAGGCAAACCATATCTGGGCCTGAGTATACCTATGCACTTAAAGGACCATATACACATTATTTTATGTGGTATGCAACTGCATGTTATAGAGAACACCTATACATCTTGTAAAGGATCTTACAATTCACAAAATTACATGTTTGTCAAACATATCATATATGAAACACGCTTGTCCACATGTTGGACACGCCATGTGGCTTGTCAATTTTTTAAATTACTATTTATTTATTTATTTTTTTTTGCGTGACACTTTGGGGGACACTTCACGAACGCGTCTAGTGTTTGAACACATCTCAGGACACCTTTGGGAGGGTTTTTTTTTATATTTATTGTTATTTAATTTAAAAAGATGATTTGACTAAGGTAAAATATATGAAAATTAAGAGGAATGAAAGTGGAAAAATAAGAATACACCCACATATACATTGATGCTTCTTATTTCTTTGTGCCCTAAATTTAAATTCATATGCATAGGAAATAAAAATATATAAAAAAATTATTTTTTTGCTGTACTTTGCCGTCTCTATATACTTTTTTTTTTTTCCTTCCAATTTTTCCGTGTCTTGGGCCCATGTCTGTGTCTATGCTTCTTAAGTCTAGAGCATGCTTATGAAAGGAACTTGGTTGACCCTATTGAACATTGCTTTGTTTTTGTTTTTGTTAAATTATACTTTGCACCCCTGCATTTTGTACCAAATCTCACTGTAGTCCCTACACATGAAATCATGACAGTTAACTCCCTGCACTTTTGGTCAAATCTCACTTTAGTCCTTACACATGAAATCACGACAGTCAACCCTCTGCACTTTTACTCAAATTTCATTTTGATCCCTACACAAGTGTAAATGTCTCTCTTCTGTAACTTCATTTTTAAATCTTTAACAAAATCCAGTAATGTGACAAAAATGTGACTATGAAATAAAGGTAAGAGACGAAAAACATTTATGTTTCTCACCAATAAACTTTGTCCTACGTGATAAGCACATAAGAGTTATATAATACAATATATATATATGTTGAATGTATAGATGAGATGACGAAGAAGAAGAATAAGAAGAAGGAATAGAACAAGAGAAAGCTGCTGTAGTTTATTGATTCAAAAACTTAGGGTTTCCCCCTTACACACAACTACTTATACTAATAAGAATAATACACAAAGACCAAACTACCTCTAACACTTAACACTCCCCCTCAAGTTGGTGCAAAGATGTTTCTCATGCCCAACTTGCAACAAATAAGGTGAAAGACTTTACTACTAAGACCCTTAGTAAAAACATCCACTAGTTGATCTTCAGACTTAACAAAAGGCATACATATCACACCCTTATTCAATTTCTCCTTAATGAAATGTCTGTCAATTTCAATATGCTTAGTTCGGTCATGTTGAACAGGATTGTGTGAAATACTAATAGCAGCCTTGTTGTCGCAATACAAAGTCATGGGACCACTCCAATCAAGCCCTATATCACTCAACAAAGATTGAAGCCACATTAGTTTACATGTTCCATGTGCCATAGCCCTCTATTCAGCTTCAGCACTAGATCTAGAAAGCGACCCCCTGCTTCTTACTACGCCATGTGACTAGATTTCCCCCTACAAAAGCACAATAACCGGATGTAGAGCGTCGGTCATCTATAGAGCCTGCCCAATCTGCATCTGTGAATGCTTCCAACCTCAAGTGACCATGATTAGAGAACAAAATTCCTTTTCCAGGGGCAGATTTAAGGTACCTCAAAATGCGATAGACTGCATCCAAATGAGGTACACGAGGATCATGCATAAACTGACTCACTATTCCAACTGCATAGGCAATATCTGGACGAATATGAGAGAGATATATCAGTCTTCCCACAAGTCTTTGGTACCTTTCCTTCTCCACAGGCTCACCAATTCCACTACAAAGATGATGATTAGTCTCAATTGGTGAATCAGCTGGTCTGCAGCCCAACATGCCCGTTTCCTCAAGAAAATCTAGAATGTACTTCCTTTGAGAAATAAAGATGCCTTTGTCAGATCTAGCAACTTCAATCCCAAGAAAGTATCTCAATGGACCAAGTTCTTTTATCTCAAACTCCTTGGCTAACTGCATTTTGAGATGGGTCACCTCCTCCTCATCATTACCTGTCACAACTATGTCATCCACCTATACAATAAGCACTGTTACCTTATGTACATTGCGTTTGACAAACAAAGTGTGATCCGCATTGCTTTGCTGATACCCAAATCCCAGCATTGCCTTGAGGAATCTATCAAACCAGGCTCTAGGAGATTGTTTCAAACCGTACAAAGCCTTCTTTAATCTACAAACCTTTCCGACTGTAGACTGAGATGAGAATCCTGGAGGTACATCCATATATACTTCCTCTTCCAAATCCCCATGAAGAAAAGCATTCTTCACATCTAGTTGTTGTAGAGACCATCCCAAATTAGCCGCACATGACAGAATAGCTCGAATGGAATTCATCTTTGCTACTGGGGCAAAAGTTTCTTGATAATCTATTCCATATGTTTGGGTAAATCCCTTGGCCACTAGTCTTGCTTTGTACCGTTCAATCGTCCTATCTGCATTGTGCTTAATGGTGAACACCCACTTACATCCGACTGGGTGTTTCCCATTTGGAAGTGACACCAACTCCCATGTGTTATTTTTACTCAAAGCTTGCATCTCTTCTACCATAGCTACCTTCCACTTAGGATCTTTGATGGCTTCTTTCCAACCCTGCGGAATACACACAGAAGAAAGGGACGAAACAAAAGCACGATACGTAGAAGACAACGAATCATATGACACGAATTTAGAAATAGGGTGTTGAGTACAAGCTCTAACCCCATTTTTGAGAGCAATAGGAAGACTCAAATCATCCGTAATAGGACCATCAACAACAGGTGAAGAAATGAGATGAGGATTATTACCTGAAGAGTTAGTGGAAACTGGGTGTGGAACTGGCATAGGAGATGATGATTGACTTGGTGGCACAAGAGAAGCCGACTCTTTCTGACGCCGTGAATAAGTCTTAAGATCAGCTTTGTCCAAACGACCACCGATATCCGACTCCTCATCAGCAGAACTCCTAGGCTCCCCCTCACCACAAATAACAGCCTGTTGAGGAGGAAGGAAAAAAGACAACTCATGCTGATATGATGCCGTCTCATCCGTAATCTCATCGATACCACGCTCCCCCTGAGGAGATGGCGGAGGACCGGGAAAAAATGACTCAGATTCACGGAAGGTGACATCCATACTAACATACAACCTATGAGAGTGAGGGCCATAGCATTTGTAGCCTTTCTGAGTAGCAGAATAACCAAGAAAGACACACCGGACAGCCTTAGGATCAAGCTTCCCACGAGTCCGAGGTTGAAGATGAACAAAACAGACACTACCAAAAACCCGAGGCGGAAGAGAAGAAGTGGGATACGTCACAGGAAGAAGCTCAAGAGGA